CGGGCCCCCCCCCCCCCCCCCCCCGCCGTTCTCTACGTTACTTTTCTCTCTCTCAGGATAGTTTGCTCTGACTCTCTGCACTCAAGGTAGAAAATTCCTTGCTTTGTGTTGCCTCCCAGCTCAGAAACATTCCAGAAGTATCTGGATGTGTTTGGAGCTCTGCTATACTCATGGGCCAGTGCCTTATCCAGCCATCATCAGAGAAGCTTCCTTCCGCAGCAGACAGGAACAGATTCAGAGACTCACAGCCAGACATTCCACACACACAGAGCCCTTGGAATACATATCCCTAAAGGGGATGTCTCAGGAGGGAGGGAAAACTGGAACTGGTATGTAAAATTTTAAAATGGGCTATCTCTGTCAAATTCCTCCACTCAGAGTTCAGGGAACCTCTGAGAAAGTGGAGACAGAAAAGGCATAAGAGCCAGAGGAGATGGAGGACAGCAGGAGAACAAGGCCCTCTGAATCCATCGAGCAATCATATGAGCTCACACGGACTAAAGCAGCAAGCACAGGGCCAACACAGATCTCCACCAGGTCCCCAGTGTATGTATTAGAGCCCTCAGCTTAGTTTTTTTACGGGAATCCTGAATGTGGGAATGAGTGCGCCCCTGATTCCTGTGCCTGCTCTTTGGGCTTCCTGTCTTCTGATGGGTTGCCTGGTCCAGCCTCGATGTGATCTGTTCTGTTTTATCTTACTGTATTTTATTTTGTCATGTTTGGTTGTTTTCTCTTAGAAGCCTTTTCTATTCTAAGGAGAGACACAAAGGGAGTGGATCCAGAGGGGAGGGGAAAAGAGGAGGACGTGGGTGGAACATAGGGAGGGAAAAATTATAAACTGAATATATTGAGTAAGAGCCTATTTTCAATAAAAGGAAAAAACAGTGTTGGGGTTACATATGAGCCCTTCACTCTCGGTACTGTGTCAGGGAGTCATGTGTTCATTCTTTCTTTCAGTTATTGCTCAGCAATCCCTTTTGTCAACCACAGAGAAAAGTATGAGACATGGCAGGCCCTTAAAGAAACCTGAGCCCACCTGGGGAGGGAAACTGGTGATCATGAAAATCAGGCGCTCCTATGGGCGCTAGAGCGCGCTGACAGCACCTTTTCACTTCAGAGACGGGAGAGATTCGAGTGCTGCTCTCGGTGACGGTGACGCTCTTCTGCAGGACTGAGAAAGCGGAGCTCTTTCAGTGGTCGCTTCACTAAGCTGAATAGAGGATCAACGTTGCAGAGTCAAGATATGTACAAAAGAAATTCAAGCACGCCTTTAATCCCAGCACTCGGGAAGCAGAGGCAGGCGGATCTCTGTGAGTTCGAGACCAGCCTGGTCTACAGAGCTGGTTCCAGGACAGGCTCCAAAGCCACAGAGAAACCCTGTCTCGAAAAACCAAAAAGAAAAAAAGAAGAAGAAAGAAAGAAAGAAATGGGAGGGAGGGATTAATTGGCCCTTGTCACCCATTAAGTTCTAATTCATATTTTCTTATTAGATATAGGAATCAGGGGCCGGACAGATGGCTAAGAGGTTACGAACACATTCTGTTCTTGCTGAGTACTCAAGTTCAGTTACCAATATCCATGTGAGCAGCTTCCAGCAATCTACCTCCAGCTCCAGGGGATCCTACAACTTTTTCTGGCCTTTTGGGAAATTGCAATCACACGCACAAACCCACTCAGACACACACATGCACACATGCACACGCACACTCACATATAAATGCACCTAATTCAAAATTTTAGAAAAGTCTTTTTAAAAAAGAAGTGGGAAGGGATATGGCAAAAAGGATTCAGGAGTCAGGTATCTGTGATTGATTAAGCACAACTGTATCTGCAAACAAGGGTGATGCACTGAAGTCTCAAGTCAGCTGGCAGAAACAAGGGTGATTCACTGAAGTCTCAGGTCAGCTGGCAGAGATGTGCAGGGACAGGCTGGTCATTTTATCAGCATCCATCACGAACATCATTACCACATGATGGAACAGCAGAAACCCTTGTCTTCCAGGTCTGACTTGGTCCCTCCCTACGGCCTGGCTCTAAGTATGAACAGCTCATACAGAAGACCAAGGTGAAACTTGACCAAGGTTAATTGCAAGGAGGCATAAAAGCAACTTCAAGACTCTCACGGGTTAGAAAATATACTAGAACTCTAACCAAAGAAGGATGATCTGTGAGCTCTGCTTTTCCTTCTAAATATGCCAAGCCCTTGTTTTCCCTCTATTTCCGCATCGCCATTTTGAGTCCTTCAGAGCTAGATCTCCATAGGACCAAGGTTTTCCTCCCTACTTTTCAGTTCCACTTCCAGTCCGTTCTTAGAGTATCTTCTTTCCAAGTTTGTGACATCACTCTCTTCTCAGAAACCTGTTTTCGTCTACACCAGATGCATAGGCTACTGTTCAAAACTTCCTCTTATCCATTCCTGCCAAACTGGTCACACTCCCACCTGTGGTGCGCTCATCCTGTCTCCGCCTTACTCCTCTGCTGGAGAGCTTAACATCAGTAGCTCAAATCATTCAGTCCTTCAGGTCAGTGAAGTTTCAGGCTCTTCCGGAAACCTCACTGTGACTTTGGCTTCTCAGTGAATAGACGTTCTGATGAACGCCTATAATCCTGAGGGCTGTATTTTGTATCTAAAGTGTCCCTCAAAGGCCCATGTGCTGATGGTTTGGTTGCCAAGAAAGATACCACTGGATGGGGCTAGAACTTTGATACATAAAACCCAATGGGGGGTCTTCAGGTTATTGAGGGCATCCTTTACAGAAGAATGTGGGGACCCAGGCTCTCTTTCAGCTCTGGACCATGAGGTCATCAGGTCTACTCCGCCACATACTTTCATCTGATAGACTACAGGCTCCCAGGACAGACACGTTATACACTAACACCCCGAAGCAGTGATCCTAAATCACCCTTTCCTTTGGTCATTATGGGTATTTGTTACAGAAAGCTAAATAATAGAACAGATCCAAGGATACTGTAAATAATGATGCATTTTGATACATTTTAATTGTGCTCTCCTGGTTAGCACCTGGCACCAAACCTGTCAAACCGGTTTGATACGCTTTTAATAAATGAAAGAACGAATCATGTACTGGCCATGGCATCTATTGTCTTTATCTCCCACGTAACCATTCACTCAAGCCATTGTCAAGACTTTATCCAGAAGTGTGTACTCAGTAGTTTCTAAGTGTGACACGTGAGGGACCTGCCATCATGACACTACACGCAAACTCCTCCCTCCACAAAGGGGACAACACATTGGAGGAAAGATGATCTTCAAAGTATAAATGGAAGCAGTAAAAGCTAAGGCAGTTGTTTGGTGAAGGCCAAATGTTTGTTATATACGTATTTCAGGGCAGAGAAACAGCAGACAGAGCAAGAAGCATTCCTGCATTAGTTATGTCTTCCTACAAAAACTCTTGGGGGCAAGACAGGCCAACCTAGGAGAAATAAGTTCAAATGTGTGGAAAACCAGGTATCCATGTAGGTGGTCTGTTCCCCAAAATATAAAGACATGGCTGTCAGAGTTGGAATGGGAAGGAGAGGGTTTATATGCTCAGTTGTTGACTGTACCTCCAAGTTTCTGAGTAGACAATATCTAGTCATCGATCCCAGGTGCTGTGTGTGGGTTCCTCTGGTGATTCATGTGTTCGTCAACTGTTTTACTAGGTGCTCCCTGTTAGATTCCTCACGAGTTCAAGCATGCAAGACACTGGGCCAACCTTTCAGAGAAAAATAAGACAGATGAAAAGGACAAACATTGACACTGAAGGAGGCATAATCCAGACCCCAGTGGATGGGACAGTCACTCTATGAGAGCCCACAGAAGACAACCAATTCTGCAGGCATCCCATACTGTGGAACTGGCTCCCCACTAGAACTTAGAATGCTAAACTCTACATTACTGTAAGGCAGACACTTTGCATTTTACTATTTCTGACACTGAAATATAACTTAATATTTCAACAGTGCTTTCTGTGTGTCAGGGTGTACTCTGGGTTCTCTCAGGATTAACTTGCCTCACCTTTACATCAGCACTATCAAGTAGGTACAGCCATCAACTCCATAGAAGAGGAAATTGGGTCACTGAGAAGGAGAGTCATTTGCCCAGTGAAACAGAACTTAACAGTGTTCAAAACAGGGTCTGGACTCCAGAATCCATGAGCATCCATGGTGAATGTAAGTGTGTGTGTGTGTGTGTGTGTGTGTGTGTGTTATACTTATTTATCTATTTATGTGTGTGTATTTTTATGTGACATACACACTTAAATTCATTGTGGATGCTCACAGATAGAAGATAGATAGATAGATAGATAGATAGATAGATAGATAGATAGTATATGGATAGACAGATGATAGATGATGATGATGAAGAAGATAGATAGATAGATAGATAGATAGATAGATAGATAGATAGATAATAGATTGATGATAGATAAATAGATAGATAGATAGATAGATAATAGATAGATTGATGATAGATAGATAGATGATAGATAGATAGATAGATAGATAGATAGATAGATAGATAGATAGATATAGATAGATAGATGGTAGAAAAATGTATCTACTTCCACAAAAAAAATAGTAAACCAAAGGTACATTGTATCCAGAAGCTTTAATAATCAAGGAATTCTGGATTTGATACAGTATATTGAATTAGAGGTGAGAATTCAATTTGAGTTAGCAAATATTTATTTAGCTGCAGAGGATTAATGGATGGATAAGATCTAGTCACTTTCCTTAAGGAACCCAGTGCGTCGTGCGGCACAGAGATGAATGAACAACTCATCACAGTACACTGTGCTAAACGCCAAAGTATTGCTTTCATTGTGTCAGCAAAGTTTGTGGACCTCAAAAGACAAAGGGAGTAATTCTGCCTGCCAGGTTTCACAAGAGGTTTGCCAGAGCTGCTAAAGATGGAGCCAAGGGTTGCTAGCAGATGGGCTTTGCTCTGGAGAGGCAGGCTATGATTAGGCAGGAGGATTTTTGCAAGGGATAGTCACACACAGAGCAATACATGTTAACAATAAACCTGTACAATATAACAGTCCTAAATCCTGCACTGATGGGTGCTTTGCACAAAACGGGCAAAGCAAGCAGGTCAATATTTTCTTCTCAGCTTCCTGTCCCCTACTGGGGGGCATGTATTCTGACTAGCTGAGTTACACCCATCTAGGAGACATCATCTGTCCAAGTTCAGTAGGTTGAAATCTCTCAAAATCCTCACAGTGCAGAAGGACTCCTCTAGTTCTTCACAAACCCCAAACTAATGCTGTGTGCTTCTCCACTCGGACAGAGGCCAAGCTAAGCTCAAGCAGAGCATCAGAGTCAAAAGAGCAATTGAAAAGTCAGAGCATGGGCTTTGGGGACGATAGATGTGATGATATGAAAAAGGTGGGCCAGGCTTCCAGACAGAATCCTGGTTTCCATCTGAGGCACAAACTTTGGGGCCTTCAATCCACGTGTGGAGGAGGAACATGCGAAGGAGTCCGAGAGATAATTTTTGGGCCTCATTTCTACCCCATCTATAGTATCTCTGTAAGTATTTGCATTGTATACATTCAGACTTTCACTTTTTATTTTGAGACGGGATCTCACTATGTATTCTTGGTTGGCCTGGGACTCCCTATTACACCAGAGTGACCTTGGGCTCACAGACATCTACCTGCCTCAGCCCCTGCCTCTTGTTATTTCTTGTGAGAAACAGATATCAGTATAGTTCTAACCCCTCATCAGGGAAACATCCCTTTGCAACTGTCAGAAAGAGTCACAGAAAATCATAACCCATCAAAATGCAGAGGTGTGGAGCCCATTTCCCATGGATATATGTACAACAGAACTCCTGCACCCAAGGCTCAGGGGTCATTGTGCAAGAGAGGGAGGAAAGGTTATAAGAGAACAGAAATCTGTGAACAGCAAAACGTCTGTTCTTTTTAGGATCAGATTGGAGGGGAACAGAAAGATGGATTGACAGCTAAACAACCTGCAGAGGACTCAGGTTCTGTTCCTGGGACCCATACAGCAGTCCAAAACTGCTTGTAACTCTAGTTCCAGGGGCTCCAATGTCCTCTTCCTGTCTTCATGGGGCTCCTGTACTCATGCGGTCCACATAAAGTCACCATGCAGAGATGTGCACACATATATGAGACATAACTATTAAGATCAGATTAGAGGAGGCATTTGAAGACAGGAAACAGTGTCAACAACAACCAGAGGAGCGAAAGAAGTGTCCTCAAGGATCACGTGGAGCACCAAGCCCCAGGGAGGACTGCTGCAGATCAGCAGATGGACCTTCTGTTCCAGCTCAAGCCCAACCATCCAGACTGCCTGCCTTCAGAACAGTTCGAACTTGGGATCTTTCCTTGGATCTAGGCGCCCACTAATCCTGCTTAGAGTCCCATTAACTTGTCACTATTTCCTAGAGCAGCATTAAATGGGTCTGGAAAGTGTCCGAAGTTCCTTCCTCCAAGGCCAGCTCTACCTGAAACTGATCGGCCCAAAACCAAGTTGAACTATCTGCTTAGGTTAAGCTAACCTTTGAGACAGTTGCTAATAGTTACCTATCACAAAGTTTACCTGAGCTTTCCTTTTGAAATGTTATCATCATCATCATCATCATCATCATCATCATCCCTATTGAAGATGTACTCTCTGAGCCAAGCGTTTCCTTAGAGTTGAGTATTTCATGGAAGGAAGAAGGATGAAAGCAGGCGAAGGAAAAAAGACTAAGTGAGGATTACTTAAGAGAAATGATGTTCTGGTACATCTCAAAGCACAGCCCCTGATGGCTGAGGCCTCTATTTTGTTATTCATGCCCAGGATGCAGGGAAGAGCTCTTCTTGTTTACTGGTGAAAATTGAGCGGTGGAAGCAAGCAATAGAAGATAGTGCTGTTTTCATTTTACACTAACGTCCCTAGACAGCCACACACATTTCTCAAGGCTCTTATTGTCCTGGTTTCCTGTTACAAAAAATCAAACTAGCGACGGCAGACCCACACCATCATTAGAATACTGAAGGCAGTGTATTACAGTACCAGGCAGGGGAGGGGGGCCAGACAATAAGTGTAATAACAAATATAAGTTCTCAAAGAAATAGCCAGCTACAAGCCATCGCCACTGCAGAGCAAGGCCCGGGCTGGGAAATGAGGACATGGTCTCAGTTACACTTGTCAAGCCAAACAGTAGAGGCTGAGGAGAAACAGGGAACAGAGACGTAGAAGAAATATCCGTAAATCAAGACACGACTACCAAAGACAAGCTCAGTTTGGCCACTGAAAGCACAGTTTTGAACGAAGCCGTGTTGACACAAAACAGTAGATCTATCGAGCAGATACATACCACTGGAGTCTTTGATGTTTTCTCGAGCATGATTCTGTGTGTATTATCAACTGTGATATCTAATAACAATATCTTTCTTTGCCTAGGCAGGAGTGGGCAAGAAAAGAATGTGCCTCAAGAACAGAAGACTGAACTCCAGGGTCAGCCCTTAGGGGCTTACGACCAGTTTGTATGCTTCGATGGAGCTATGGGACAGCGGGCAGATAAACACACAAGGACAAAGACGGGTGACTCCTAAGCCAGGCCTTGAACTCGCACCAGCAGCAGAAGTATTCTGGAATACGTCCAGCTCATAATAGAGTGTGTTTCTGAAGACGTAGAGATACAGCCACAGATTCATAACCCACTCCTGTGTTCAACCTTGTACCCGATAAGACGAGCCATCACTTGCGGAGAGACATTGATTTGGAATTCTTTATAAAGGCATTTATTTCCAAGAAAAAGAAAATTCTCTTTTTCCTACATTCTCCTGCCTGGAACAAACTGTCAGAGTTTTTTTTTTGGGTGGGTGGTGGTGGGGGATTGTTTCTATTATCTGATGTATGCAAACCTCTCTAAATTCATCAGCCAAAATATTTTCAACAGAGAAGATGGATTTGCTATACATACCAGATGAAAGTCAAAGAGGTGCAAACTACAAGAGAATTCGCAGGAAATAAATACCTTTGACTTAAAGCTCATGAATAAGATCATATTGCTGAAGAAATGTAAAAGATGACATGGGGCTTTGCCAAACGGGAAGACAGTTCTGTGAAAATTTCCACTGTTTCCAAGTTAAGATGCCAACCTTCTTGGTGTGTTTAGCCATGTCACCATGATCTTGGTCCAAGTCTGGAAAGTAATTTTTTTTTAACTATCTAAAAAAAAAAAAAAAATAGAAAGCTAGCCCTTACCTTGCAATAAATTTTAAAAATAGATTATAAATCAATTTTTAAAAACCAACTAAAGATTAGCATAAAAGCAATAGAGTAAGCACTATAACCAAGGCTGCATAGCAACTTTTAGGCCAACTTGGGCTACATGGCAAAAACCAGTCAGAGAACAAGAGAGACAAAGAGAAAATCTGGAAGAAAACAAGGAACAGATTAATAAGTATGCCCGGGAGGAACAGACTGGATTGTCACAAAACACCATAAAGAAAATCATAAAATGTGGAACATGTAACAGAAAAATTTATATAATAACCACAATATATAAACATCTTAAATAGCTAAAAAGAAATACGTCCAAACTAGCAAAAACGTTTAAAGGCAGCCAAACAAGAAGTTATAAAGACTGAGTTTTAAGACTCTTCTCTCCAATTCACACCACACGTCCAACTCATCACCCGGCTCCTACTTAGCTCCATCTTCGCTACTTTCTTGTTTGTGCCGCCATCTTTGCCTTCCCTCCCAGGCAGCCTCCCTTTGCATCTCTTCAGCACGCATTCTCAATCCCAGCTGAGTTTAAAGAAACTCATACTTCCTCTGTTATTATTCAAGTCCCCGAGGAGGGTCTATACGGCTCCCGTGGCTTCCTAACCTCCCAGGGCTTGTCTTCCACTGTGACAAATATGCCTATATGTTAGCCTTCCTCATCTTTTAAGTGGGCACATCCTTCTTCACAAAATCTTGACTTTAGCAGGGTTCTCCAAGCACAAAGCTTAGCTGCTCTGGATCATTCCTGCCTATTCCCTCTTTTTCTGACTCCAGGTGCTAGACATACTCTGACTTTGCCTTAGAATCTGAACTCAGTATCCTAACTTGCCTCAGTGAGATCCCCAAGTCAGTCACTTTCCCCTAGTTTAAGGACTTGTATTATGTGTCTCTTCTTCTTAACAGCGGTCACAAGTACAGTATTATATTGTTTATGACTTGTCTATTAAATATTTCCAGCCCTAGGTTGATAAGAACAGGGTGGAAACAATCCCTGCTTCCCTTCACCATGGAGACCTGTTGTATGATGAGAGTAGATGCCCCAGAGTAATGGTGGAATTTGATTTTGAAAAGCATATAAATATATTTGTGTCTGTTATTTATGTTATACCTTCTATACAGAAAATCTTACACAATAGGAAATTAGAGCAGTTTTTTACCAGGGATTTTCACTCCCAGATTACAGAGACGAGTACCACTCCCAGCTCTTTCTTTAAATTTTTTTAAAGATGGATTTATTTATCTTATGTATATGAGTGTTCTATCTACATGTATGACTTTATGACAAAGAGGGCATCAGATCCCACTATAGATGGCTGTGAGCCATCATTTGATTGCTGGGAATTGAACTCAGGACCTCTGCAAGAGCAGCTAGTACTCTTAACCACTGAGCCATCTCTCCAGCCCCTTCTTTACATCTCTTAGATCATCACTCATTGTATTGGCAGGCAAGTAGATAAATGTGTAAATATAAAATGTATAGTTATTTCTTTAACTATGTGGCAAGTGAAAAATTTACAACATTAACAGACTTAGAGGAACGATTCCATAGTCTTGTTTTTTTTTTAATGCCAGATTATAGAAATTAAAAAACTTGTACTGCTAAAAAAAAAAAACTAGATTATTTGCATGGTTTCTTATTTTTTAGGTGACCTTGCAGCTTGCCAGTTTGGATTAATTTCTAGGTCTCTTCTGATTTTGAGCCTCACATTTTGTTGTTCTTATCACTGTTATTGCTAGCCTTAAAAGAAGGTTGATAAAGCACATTTGAAACTACCACCTGGTCAAAGTGACCTTCCTCATCCAGTTGGACAAACCCAGCATTCCACACACTGGAAGAGACTGTGGAAATAGAATGAAGAGAAATTCCTCCAAACAGGTTGGGGAAGGGTGTGGAGACAGCCAAACTGGTCCTGATTTGTGACTGGTTGTGGAATTTCTCAAAGGTGACATTTCTCCAAGTGTTCTTATCGTGGAGCCAGGGAAAGTGTTAGTTGGCTTGCATCTTCTTTTAACTTTTGTAAAATTACTCAAAGGACATAGGACCTAGTGGTCACAGTGGAAGTCCGCTGACCCAGGGGGTGGCGCTGTGGTTGACAAAAGTTTAGGACATGAGAACTTTAAGATAAGTCCTAGGCTTTTGTCTTCAGTCTTTGCAGGATTTCATTCTCCTTGGAACCCTGGAAACTCTCCCGCTAAATACACGTCCGCAAGAGTCAGCCCATGTTCCCATTGTAAACCTTGGAGAATCTTACATATTCAGACTTTGACACTAATATTTGGTGGCTATTATGGAATCGTTACAATTCTCACCTTCACGATTAGTAAGTGGCTCTCCATGAACATAATTATATTGTTCAGCTTTCCATAACCTATGATTCCTCCGTGTGTGATAACATGTGATCCGGCCTTCTTGAATCCAGCTGCTTCAAATAATTGCTTGCTGTCCTACTGAGAAAAACTTTTATTAAATGATGCATTAAACAACAATAGTGCAACCCCGTTTTCATAGATACAAAGTCAGATATGGCTTCTACCCAGAATTTAATCCTGTGGCTCCTCCCCGCTTCTGCAGCACCGCTGAGGAGACAGGAGAAAGAGGATTGGACTATTTTGATTAGAACCCCCATGGTTCTGTAGGCGCACCACCAGGATCTTGCCACTAATTGAAGAAATAGATAACACTCATCTTTTCCTCGGCAGCTCTCACTTCCTTAATAGTCTTTTCCCCCAGAAACTTTAAGAAACATTTCCCTTTGAAATACAACATCACATAACAGGCCCATCTGGAATGGCATCTTTGCACGAATACTAAGAAATGAGAAACATTTTTGTCTTTGTCTAGGGTAAATAATTGCCATTAGCTCCTGCTGGTGTGTGTGTGTGTGTGTGTGTGTGTGTGTGTGTGTGTGTGTGTGTGTGTGCATCCTATAATATAACAGTATATGTGCATTATATAATATTCTACCATATGTGTGTTATATAATATAGCACAATGTAATTACTAGGATAGAGTGATCAAAATCTTTTATTCAAAAACTTATTCACCAGAATTTTGATTGCCAAGAAAAAAAAAAGATAGCAAATTTTTCTTATTCAAACTCGAAGCATTTTATTTCTTATTCGGGTTTATATTTCATTTCCTCTAATTTTGGCTTTAATTTGGGCAATTGGGTTTCATATAGCACACGCTGGCCTTAGGATGACTTTGAACCTCTCTTGGCTTCTCCTCTCAAGTTGAAAGATAATAATGCACACCAGCACACATAGCTGGCCTGCTGCTGGGATCACTGTCAGGGTTCTGGGCATGCTAGTAGGTGAGCACTCTGCCAAGGCATCTAGAGATTTAGCCCAATTGTAGCTTCAGAAGAAAAAAAAAGCAGCAATTGGGATAATAAAATTTCTTGAAACTTTGATGGCTTCTTGACTGAAAAGTAAAAGTTTTTGTTTGAGTTAAAAGACATGAAAATTGTCATTGGGAAAAAATGACTAGTGAAAGCCTAGAGTTGGGGTGACTCAAGACCCATGGATAGGATGAGCCCAACTAGAGTGCCGACTCTGCTTTCAGTAAAACTCCCCAGGTCTACACTCAAGGGAGCATGAACACAGGAGCATAACTTAAACATTAAGTAGCTCATGGTACACAGAAGCCAAGCTGGGGGCCAAGCATGAAGACTGGAAGTCAGCAGAGAGATGGGAGGAGGGGGTCACTGATACAATATCAACCAAGGCAGGAACTTCCTAATCTGGTGCAAGAAAGGACCATGCATTTCAAGTAATTTACACGGGATAAAATATTCGGTGTATTAACTGAAATCTTCCACCCCAGCTTTAGGGGATGTTTTTGATCTGGGTTTTGTGTTTGCCTTGCTTTTTCTGTGCCATCGGGAGTCCAACCAGCGGGAGCCATGCTGGACAGCCCTGTTTCAGATCAAAGCGTTCGGTTTCACCTTTTCCTTTGTTTTATGACACGATTCCAAATATACATTTTTCACTCCAGTTTTGGCAGGGTCTCTTCGACACACTTCCCTCAAACTAAGGAAAGGTATGTTATTTGGCAAATGGCGGGGCAGAAGAAAAAAGGTACTGGTTCACATTAAGAACAGAACATGCGATTGACTTGAAAGCGGTGGCTTATGAATTCTCCCTGTCATTGAACCTGAGGTCCTTTACAAACCCAGGCATTGCTATGACAGCCCGCATGGGAAGTCGTCCCCCCC